ACCGCAAGGCCGGTTCATATATCACTCGCCACTGACGTTAACCGTCGCCGGGGGAATCGAACTCGGGTTACCAGGTTCAAAGCGGTGCGCACTAACCAACCAATTGCGCTACGGATGGAACTGTGCGGTGGCTTTCTTAAGAACGAAAACAAATCAACGACTGAACTTTTCAAGGAAGAAAAACGCACGCGCACGCATGGGTGACGTGCCGCTCTCCCAACTAGCACGTCTGTAACTCGTACAGATGCCGAGGGCAAATACGCGTCTGGATATCTGCAAATAACGCAGTCATGTTTTTTTGTTATGTTTCTGCAAAGTGTATCATTCATCCTCTCCTCTTAAAAATAACATTCACACAACTGCGCACATACAGAAGTGTCGGTCGTGCCGGATCATCCTCACGAGACAGACGGGACTCGCGAGAATGACATTCACGCGCTCACGCCGTAGCTGGGAAAGCGTTAACAAGTCCAACGCTTTCCCCCCATCGTAGCTCAGAATATGTCACCCCACAAGACAAAGAACCCCCGTATAGCCTCAACAGACTGTAGGGGTAAGTGCTGTTAGCGAGCACCTATAAAGGCCGGCACAGCACACGAGGGGGTGGGTGGCCAACACCACGCCCGGCCGCCTTTGTGTCCCTATTGGCGATGTTTACACATCGCACCAGGTACTCATTTAAGGCTGAGTCGACCTAGGGGAGGTCCGGGACCGGTTCAGATAATTGTCATTGATGTTGGCCGTGAGCGAGAATCGAACTCGGGTTGCCAGGTTCGTAGCGCAGCGCGCTAACCACTACACTACCGCTCCCTCACACACACACATACACGCGCACGTTTCATCCGTGTTGGACCTATCCAGACGTTGGCGTTATCGTGACCCGCACGTTAACGCACAAAAAGCCGCTGCACAGCACCGAGAGAGACAGAGAGAGAGAGAGACACACACACACAATACAATTCACGTTTTCAAACCTTCATCGGCAGAGCGTACACAACAATCAGGCTCTCGAGCGCGCGGCGTGTTCCCCCAACTTGACGCGCAGAAGCTCCGAACGGGTCCCGCTGCGCGTGGCGCGCGGCCCTCTCTGCCTGCTCCGTATTCAGCGCTACGACACCCCCCCCCCCCCCCCGCTCAAGCATAAACATTTAGAAGTTAATCATCAGAGATCTAGAACCCTTGCCATCGCTCGCCTCGGGTTTATGTTTTGCCCAGATGAGAGCAATAATAACCTTTATTTGGATAATTAGTAACCAATACGCAGTGCAGTCTATTGCCGCAGCGAGAAAGAGAGAGCATCAACCAGAGTCATTGCTGCTGCTGCTGCTGCTGGGAATTTGCTTGGTATTGTGTCTTCATTATTGGACTAAAGCGTTGCATTCTAAGGTTTTTTTAATACTACGTTACAATGATAATAACAACAACGTAGCGATTGACAAACTCTGCGTCAATTCACCGCTGGATGGAAGCCTACGTACTGCGCGTCGTTCAACGGCAGTTGTTTGACCATACTTCACCACTCTGGTTCAGCGTAGAACCGGTTCATACCGGCGATCGAATCGCTAACCACTGCGCCACCGCTCCACATCATTACGTCACGTGTAGTATCACCTTTAATTTCAACGCGTCTTACGCTCTACCTTATTGTTACGCTATTTATAATTAACTCGCTTGTGTACATATTGTTACAAGTTTAAGCGCTGTTTATATTTGCTCACTCTCGTGTAAATATTTTCTATTGTTAAAAGTTTAAACAGGCATCATGTCTAATTTAAGAGGAAGGGGCGCGGGGGGATGTTGGGAATTGTACTCGGTAAAAAAAAACACATTCGTTAACAATTCCGTGGCCGTAAAAAAAGCAAATTACGCGACGTTTCGGGCAATAACCCTTATTCACAGCACATAGATAGGCGCTGTGAAAAATGGACATTTCCTAAAACGTCGCCTATTTTTGTTTAAATACATATTTTACAAGCGTAAAGCCGGAGTGATATGACATTGTCGAGATGGTAATCTGCGGCGTAGTAGTGATATTATTGTGAATAAAGACGCGAAATTTCGGTCATTCTCGCGGCTCCCGGCGCGCCGACATCGGCGTCTCGCCACCAATCAATTTACTCGGCATCGAGCGACCCGCGACGGCTTGTTTTGTGTGCGCAGCGTGCGACACTTTAAATAATGGGAATCCGGCAATGCCACTGTGTGCCCTGTTCGCTCAGCCACGTACGTGCCGCGGGCCCTTTTGAGCGGTACACGTCGTCCGCCGCCTCTGGTCAAACACCACGCGTGCATGTCGAGGTGTAGAGCCAAGAGTTTGGCCGCTCTTATACCCCCCAACGCCGACTAAATATAATAAGCACGAGAGCTATGGGCTATGTACGTGTACGGAGTGCACACGTGGCATCCCTGCAGTCCAGAGACGGGGCGAGTACCATGTTATACAAATCATTGCCGGAGAAAGTTGTGCGCAAATTAAGTTGCACGAGTGGCTATGTATATATATATGTGTGTACACAATATGAAACATATACACACACATGATTTACAGCTTTCGTGACTGCACGGATTCATATTCTTGGTTCTTTCGGTAAAGTCACGTAGAAGGAAAAAAACATATTATTACTTTATTATTTCCCTTCTGCGTGACTTTACCGATAAAACCAGGAAAATGTTTACACGTGTCCATAATAGAGGCTTTTGGGTAATATCGCGTAAACATAAATGCGTCGTTAAACCCGCCACAGCCAATTAGTAATGCCTGATGAGGCTAGTTCTAATTACCGGCGAAACGTCGTACTCGAATTGTAGATGTTGTGAGTTTGCTCTCCAACACACCGGTGTGCTGAACTAGACACGAAACGGGCATGTTGACGTGACGAACCTTACTAATTGGCTGTGTCAGGTGGTGGCAGGTTTCACGACACCTTCATATTTACGCGATCTCACCCAAACATCTCTATTATGGATAATGGTCTCGAAACCCTACGTGTTATGTACACACACACACGCAGATTGTTCGAATATATAGACACGATTTGGGCAGTTTAGGGACAAATAAAATATTCATGCGGACTTGATGCTGGACAAGCAGAAAGGCAGCTGTTTGAATGCTCAGGCGTCTCGCTAACACGGTTTTTGTCCGAGGAATATCTCGAGCAAATGTTCAAGCAGTCCATGCCAGACTTTGTATATCTGTCACTGAACATTTTTAATAATTTTACACTATTCCGGTAAATAGGCAAAGCGGCAATTGTAAAGTTTAACCAACTTCCTAAGATTTTCTACCTTTGCAAATTATAGATTTGTTTTTATAAAGTTAATTATTATTAGGCTGATTTATACAAGCGCTCAGAACCGATTCAGATATTACCCGCCACAAATGTTAGCCGAATCGAACTCGGATGGTCTTTAGCAGTGTGATAACCGTTATTAACAGCCTTATTTAAAATTCAAAATATAGCCCAGGTATTTTTTTTTTATCACAATTAAAGTGTTTTTGTTTGGTATTCAAGTAAAAAAAAACACGCGATCGGAAACATAGTTCCAAATTCGGCATACGCACGCACATATACAGACTACTCAATCTCAACGCGCATATATACAGCTTTAAGCAACACACTCTTCTCGTAAATTATTTGTGCAACACGTTGTGTGCTGCGTAACATCGCAAGCGCATTGCAGCGATGCATAGGTTTGCCGAGCTTTATGCGTGTTCGGTGTTTTCGCGATTTCGCGTATACACCGCGGGTAACCTATTTCTGCACAAACTTTGCGACATGCGGTTTAAATTCACTCAGACGGAGCCGTGCTGTCGGGCGTGGAACAGTATCTCGTACGGTTTTGCTTTGCACGCTTTTTTAGGAACGCATCTACTGCCGCGTAGAGCGAGGGAAACCTAAATACACTAATTTCCAAATAAAGAAACAATTCTCACCCGTGTCGCGTTAACAGACTGTTGGAACAATAATAACTCGCACGCCTACCCGTACGTTTTAAATATGGTTATAAATATAGAACGTATATCATATGCCCAACACGTCTATATATTTATAAATATGATTACATTCACGCAAAAGGGAATTATAAAATCGTAATGTAATGACACTATATTCAACACACACCGTATATTCACGAATCCACAATTATGCAGTCCATAACGAATAACAAAAGTGTAATATTATGAACAATCTACCGTAATCAAACCTCTGCATACGGGGGCAGCTATAGATATGTAACGCTGTTTTGGGCGAACGGAGACAGACTACCGCTTTGCCTACATCGATTAATCTTGAGATGCAACATTATGTACACACAGAACCCTCGCCGCGTCTTACACACAGAGTCCACGCCGCGTCTTACACACAGAACCCACGCCGCGTCTTACACACAGAGCCACACCGCGTCTTACACACAGAGTCCACGCCGCGTCTTACACACAGAACCCACGCCGCGTCGTACACACAGAGCACACACCGCGTCTTACACACAGAACCACACCGCGTCTTACACACAGAGCCCACACCGCGTCTTATACACATAACCCACACCGCGTCTTACACACAGAACCCACACCGCGTCTTACACACAGAACCACACCGCGTCTTACACACAGAGCCCACACCGCGTCTTATACACAGAACCACGCCGCGTCTTACACACAGAGCCCACACCGCGTCTTACACACAGAACCCACACCGCGTCTTACACACAGAACCACACCGCGCCTTACACACAGAACTCACACCGCGTCTTACACACAGAGCCACACCGCGTCTTACACACAGAGCCACACCGCGTCTTACACACAGAACCCACACCGCGTCTTACACACAGAGCCACACCGCGTCTTACACACAGAGCCCACACCGCGTCTTACACACAGAACTCACACCGCGTCTTACACACAGAACTCACACCGCGTCTTACACACAGAGCCACACCGCGTCTTACACACAGAGCCCACACCGCGTCTTACACACAGAGCCCACACCGCGTCTTACCGTAAGAGTCGATCCACTTCCCCTCGCTGCTCAGCCGCTTCTTCGGGACTCAAGCTCTCCAGCTCCTTCAAGATTGGAGGCGGCTCCATGTCGTCTCCATCCTCCGACGTTTCGTCGCCCGACAGGTGATTCCGCCGCGCGACCTGGTGCTGCTGCTGCTGATGATGATGCTGATGCTGCTGATGATGCTGTTGGTGGTGCTGCCCGTTGCTGAGGTTAATGTACTCCGCCGGGCCGTCGCCGCCGCCCATTGAGAGGTGGTGATGGCTTTGATGGTCGTGGTTGCTACCACCACCACCACCACCGCCGTCGCCGTGCTGCAGAACCCTCGTGGCGTTGTTTGGAGCCGGGGGGAGGTCTTGCTGGCCGTGCCCACCGCCACCGACGTGAAGGTCGTCGTAGGCGCCCAGCGCTGGCTCGAGTTCGGTGAGCGCCTCCATCAGAGCCGTCTTGCTCACCCCGGAGCACAGCAGATCGTTGAGCAATCCCCTCTGGATGTCCGTCAACTTGGAAACCATTGTCGCGTTCTCGTGCGTGCGATCTCCCCTTTGCGCGCGGTGCGCGCGCGACCACCTGTACGCGTTCACCACCACGACCACCACCACCACCGCCCCCTCCCGCTGCTGCTCGATGTAACGCTGCTGTCTCTCGTACGTGCTACGGTCTAAGCACAGGCTCCTCGACCCCTCTAAGCAAAGCGCTTGTCGCACGGCCACGCACCTCGCCGCCGCTGTAAAAATTCACTTCGCCTCGTCCATAAGGGTCGAGATGTCCCACTGGCAGCGGCCAACAGCGGAGCGAGACGACGAGACGACGGCGATGATGGTTGTGGATGAGACGCGATGTCCACCTCGGCCACAGGTTGACACACCTCCCCCCCCCTCCTCCCCCTCCGACTCGAGAAGAAGATAGACGGGGAAACGAAGAGTTCACTCAAATCTCGCCGCTCAGCCCTTCCATGTCGCCGCCCCCCTCCCGTGCTTGCGAGCCCGGCACGGCAGCTTCACCGACGACTGCACGCCGCGTGTGTGTGCGCGAGTCTCCCTCGTTGCCCCCTGCCAGCGCCTGTTTACATTTGAAACGAGTAAATTTGCCCTCCCTCTCTCTCTCTCTCGTTCGCTCTCTTCTCCTCCCCCCTTCACACAACCCCCAACTCAGGCTCACTGATAGTGCAGCGCCCCCCCCCCCTCTCTCTCCCTCTTCCCTTTTATTTATTCGCTACACACCCGACCCCCCTCCGAAACCTGCGGACTTTGAACGCCACAACCGCCCCGCCCGCATTGGCAATTGACGCGCGGAGAGGCCGACGCAGAGAGAGAGAGAGGACGCGAGATGAGATGGGGCGAGAGGGGCTCTCGTGGCTCGGCGCGACAACTCGGGGCCTTTATATTAACCCGGCAGACACCTTGATCTAGTAGCGGCCAATAGCTGTGGCGTCTCGGATCTTGGTGCGCGCGCGCGTGCGCGTGCGTGTGTGTGTGTATTTGTCTGTCTGTGTTTGATGTACAGACAGGGGGGCGTGCGTTCGTTGAGCCGGGTACGAAGAAGACCCGACTCTTGAGTGTTGTGGGAGCTGGCCCCCCCGAGTAAAGTCTGGGATGGATGGCAGGGTATGTGCGTGCGCGTGTGTGCGTATGTTGAACTTATTTCACATCGTACGTAGGCAAGCGTGCTAATCGGAGGTTGCGGAGGGAAGAACAATGTGTGGGTTGTGTGTATTGGCTGCTGGTATTAGACGCGTGTGTGTATATATATATGTGTGTGTATTGCGCCCCATGTAAGCGGACTGGTGAGTGTGTGTGTGAAGTGGAGAGCGGCGGCGGCAAGATTGATACACGAGTTCGATTCCCGGCCAGGGTTAACATCGGTGGCGTGTCGCGACATCAGCGAACTGTCTGTGGACCTCCCCGATATCAGCGCAGCTTTACCTCTTGCGCTGTGCGGAGTCAACATCTCCACGGGGGAAGCGAAGGCGAGCGGGCGCACTTTTGTTCGGCCCCACCAACGATGGATTCGTCTGACTTAAAACTTTCGTGACTGCAGGAATTCATATTTTTTGGTTCTTTCGGTAAAGTCGCGCAGATAAAAAAAGCAATAAAGTGAATTAAAATATCACGACGTTTCGATCGCAACACAAGCGGTCGCTTCGTGACTTTACCAAAGAACATGGATTCATCTGCTTCAGTTTCTATCCAAATATTGATTATAAATTGGCCGTCTTGTGTTTTCGAGCTTGCACGCGAACACTTTTCTGCTAGTAACAACTAAACGATCATGCATGATATGAGTGATCTGATTTCAAGGGTTACCTGGGGCGATGCTTAAGGATATGCCCCTGTTCTGCGTTAGGGACCAAGTGACTCTCACCTTTGGTTGTTTAATTTACCCAGGATTAGGGGGTCCTGCATGTAAAGGCTCACAATGCACCACTTGCGTCCACGTGCAGTGCAGCAATTTGAGTGTCAATCCACTGCTGGATGAGTGCCTTCCAAAGCGCCGCGTGCTGATCGCTGGTGTTTTTTTAAAGTTATACTTCACCACGCTGGTTAATGCGGGACGCGTATATATGGGTGCAAAAAAGTAGGTAATAACTAAAATAATGAGCCTAATTGTGGGCTTAATGTTTAACCTCAGTTATTATTATAATTATGATAACCTCGGTTACCTGATGACCACGTGTGGATGTGCGGGGAGCGGTAGTGCAACGGTTATGGCGCTGCGCTACGAGCCCGGCGACCTGAGTTCGATTTCTACTCACGGCCAATACCAATTATCTGAACCGGTCCTGGGCCTCCCCTAGGTCGACACAGCCTAAAATGAGTACCTGGTTGGACGTGTAAACATCGTCACGAGGCAGATAAAGGCGGCCGAGCGAGGTACTGGCTATCTACCCCTTCGTATGTCGTGCCGACCTTCATAGGTGCTGCTACTGCCTAATAGAACTTGCCCCAAATGTATAATTAAGTTATACGGGGGATCTTTGTCTTTGTACCATATATAGACGTGTGCTGATAATTAATATTTAACCATGCGCGCCGATTTCTAATGTCTTTTCAACGAGTGGTTGAATATCATCTGAATTCAGCAACACGTCATACAAAAACTTCGTAAGAAAGACAATGTGATTTGTGATATATGGAATTAGATATTGGCCCGCGTGTAGGAAGCTCTGAATTTATGATGTTATTTTCTCACTCATATCAGCGTGGTATCTGTAAACGCATGGCCTGTATGATCTACAGCAATTACTGCGAATGATCTAATTTGTTTAAGCCCGACTTTAGCGTTCTTCTTAAACCGCAAGTATGAATAGTTTAACGTATGTACGTTTAACTTCTTTCGCACCGTACGTAGCCAACCGTGCTATGTGGAGGTGCGGGGGTACACGTGCAGACGTAATCGTAATGAACACGAATTCGTTTTTCTGAAGACGCGCACTCACGAAATAGAAACGACGGGATGTCGGAGTCGGTGGGTAGCAACACGCTCTATGGAACCCGGCAACCTGAGTTCGACACCCAGCCACGGCTAACACCTGTGGCGAGTGACTGCTGTAAACCAGAGCCTGCCCGCCACGCACATCACCAGCCGGTACTGCCCGCTGTGGTCAAGTATGGTGAAACGCCACTCCCATAACGGACACGGGGTAGAGAATTCCATTTCGATTTTTACGCAATAAACACCAATGCATGCTGTGTGCGGATGGCGCGCACATGAACACTGCATGTCTCGGCTACAAGACGCGATCTCTTCCACACACCGTCCATAGAGACTGCATGACGTTCATGTTGATTAAAGTCGCCCTGCCCGATGAGACCGGCAGGTGAATTACCTGCGTCGCTCGACCCGTTTCAACGCGTTCCTTTCACTTGGGCAACATCATCAACAAGTCGGAGACAAAGATCTCCCGTATAGCCTGAACAGACTTTTGGGGCAAGTGCTATTAGCGAGTAGCGACACTTACTAAGGCCGGCACGGCACACGGTGGGGGGGGGGGGGGCAGAACAAATTGCGCGGCCGCCTTTGTCTCCCCAAAGGCGATGTTAACACATCGCGTCATCGCTCCAACAACCCGATGTACATTTAGATTTAAAGCTTTCGTGACTGCAGGGATTCATCTTCTTGGTTCTTGGTTCTTTCGGTAAAGTCACCCGATGTATTTTGATGCACCGTATTGGCACTTGCCTGCCTGCGCGCAAAGTCAGACAAAGAGTAGGGATTCTTTGTTCGATATCTGTATCGTGTGAAGATCACACACTGCAACTGGACTGGCAGCGGTGCGCAAGCACAAATAACAAAACACTCAACGGTACATTCGCCCAAAAAACACTGCTATAAAATGGGGAAAGCTAAATCATAATTTCAATTTGTGAGGATCCCAAAGCGCCACCGCGTATGGGAAAGCAGGAACATAAAACAGAGCCAGCAGCGTGAACAACCAAAACTATGGCGGTGAGTTTTCAGGGAAGATTTCAACAGCTCTAAAGGGATTCTGATTGTCTTGCCATCAGCGGAAACGCGTTCCATAGTCTTTGAGGTGCACTGACAAAATCCCGATCACTCCCAGGAACGGAGCCTTGATCTCGATAATAGGCGACGTTTTAGGCAACGGCCTTTCTTCGTCTCCTTCGTCTTCTTCACGGCAATGAATAACTAACTGGGCCCGTTATCCGTTCAGGTGTTGCCATTGAACGGTTTCAAGTTCGCGGTTGCTGGGCTCACGCGATCTCTCGTCTCTCTAAGGCGTCGTGCTCAGCGTGGCTTTGAACGCACCTACCACACGCACGCAATCCCCTCGTGTCGTTAGCATGTTACTCACACGTGTCGTTAGCATGTTAACTACACCGACGGCCTCTCAACGCAGAGAGAGACGGGATTCCCAAAAGAACAAAAATAAATTTCCGCCCAAAAGATAACGAACAAAAAAAACACAAATGCGCCGTGAAGACGTGAAGAGTCGAGAGGTATAAATTTTGATTTAAAGCTTTCGTGACTGCAGGGATTCATATATTTTTAAATTGGTTTATATAAATATTATTTTATTATTTCCCTTCTACGTGACTTTACCGAAAAAAACAAGAATATAGTCGAGAGGTATGTTCCCTATCGCCGGCCTCCTTTTATCACGGTTGACTACGTACGGTGCGAGAGAAGTTCAACATACATATATGTCAATTAAAATCAGGACTCTTTGTTACGCGTGTACTGGGAATTTAACTCAGGCGGGTCGGGTTCATGGCGCGGTTGCATCCCTCTGAGTAATTCATGTGCAGTCCTGTACTGTATCGAGTGAGTAAATCTACATTCCGTTCCATTGTCGCCACACAGAAATCACGATTGTTAATACATGGGATGATATGGACGACAAAAAAACCCACGACTATTTTGTTTCTTTGAGGAGACTATTAATTATTTATTTTACCAGGTAAGGGGCATTGAGCTATGTAGCTCCTATTGTTTGGGTCTTTCGGTAAAGTCACGTAGATAGGTTCAAATAAAATAACAAAAAACTACGACGTTTTGAAGGCAACACAAGCGGTCGTCATGCTTTCCATCATCAGGACCACCGCTTGTGTTGCGATCGAAACGTCGCCGTTTTTAGTTATTTTCTTTGAACCTATCTACGTGACTTTACCGAAAGACCCGAAGAATATGAATTCCTGCAGTCACGAAAGCTTTAAGTCAAAATTCATATAGCTCCTTTTCAGAAGCGACTTGGCCACAAATGATAGTTCAACGAAGTGGCTTATCGCGTAGAAATGCATGGCAGCCAAATGCTCTCGAAACGAATGTTGATTCGAAACGTGGAGGGGAATAACCGGATGACCCGGAGAAAAATCAACGCCACCACGATGAGAGAGAGAGAGAGACACGCAGACTCCAAATATACAGCAGCAGGCGTCAGGGTCGGGATCGAACTCACGACCTCCTGTATACCAGGCGAGGTAGTTAACATCTCCTAGCTACCGTGATGATGATGATGAGAGAGAGACACGCAAACTCCAAATATACAGCAGCAGGCGTCAGGGTCGGGATCAAACTCACGACCTCCTGTATACCAGGCGAGGTAGTTAACATCTCCTAGCCACCGTGATGATGATGAGAGAGAGACACGCAGACTCCAA